TGCCTACATTTCGGCTTAAGGTAAACACCTATATGTAGACAACGTTTTTAAAAGGACTTTTCTAGATTTAAATTATGTAGAAAAGATTTTAATTTAAAATCTTTCTATGTACAGTGCTTGTTATTGCGAAAATGAAAAGATTCAATTATTTTTTGATCATTTTCATACGGCATCTTTCATTAAAACGTTTTTCCACAAGTACTGGCCATTAATTTATAACAATAAAGATATTGCTGTGTTTATGAATTGAATATACAAATTAAAGATACTCCAATGGGCGGCACATAAAAATGTATTAAATTCATTTATAGTTTTTCTTTGTACCCTAAATGTAGACAATGCTTTTAAGATCTTATTTTCAGAGCTAAAACTTTACAGAGCTTGATTGGTATTTATTTAGACATTTTTATAACAAATAGGGCATGAGTGTCCAATATTGGGCTTGTAACCGCTCATCTACTGGATCTTTGTGACCACCGAAGCGATTTTTGAGCCGAGCTCGTGGTTTAAATTTTTTTTTTTTTTTAATTTAGTGACTTCTTTAAATATTTTTCCAAAACAGATAAATTTTTTTAAGTAATTTTGCAATTTTGCTTTTACCGCTGCCAATATTACCATGTTGCTACATTTAGCATTTTGGTTATGAAAAAATAAGCTCAATGTAGACCACGTTTTAGAAATTCTCTCTCAAAAAATTATCAACAAGAAAAGCCATGCAAAAATATATTTCAGACCAAAAATTGGTTGATTGGTCTCGAATTTCTTTGCTGCAATTTATTTTCCCAAGAAATGTTCAGCTGATTTTTTTTTTCACAGAACTTGGGACTCCGCTTAACTCAGCTGATATTTATAATGCCCCTAAATGTAGGCAAAAATCTCCTTAAGTCATGTGTTAGCTGCACAAATTGGATACTGCTTGAGTTCATTTGTATATTTTTAGATCTTTGAAAATGTCTATTTTGTTTGAATTTATTGTAATAAAATACAATTTCTTGGCAAATAAATTATATTTGAAAAGTATTAAAGATATTTTTTGAAAAATTTAAACCAATTCGATAAAGATTTGTAATTATATACTTAAATTTATGCGAAAAATTTAACCATCGGTAATATTTATTTGCATTAAAACGCTATTTTATAGTCGGTGCTTTCAATTTCTCAGAAATGCCTCGACTCTTTGGTCGCAAATTAAAACAAAATATTTTTCAGGTAATGCTGGAAGAAATAAGATTAAAAAATATTGAGCTGAGCATTTTTTTGGAAGTTCAAAAATTAAAATGCTTAATACTCTTTCAATCATTGCCTTCATTTCTGCTGTGCTATTTTTATTTCTCATATTTTTTTGGATATCATAACGATGAAACATAAATATCTCTTTTATAAGCTAACCATAATCCACTTGTAATTGATAAATAGAAATTTATATAGAATTAATAAAAAAATAACAATTTCGAAACTTTCAAAGGCATATTTCCTAGCCAAATGTGTTTTTATTATTTTTGTTTTAACTAACTTTTTTGGAAGTTTTTGGGGCAAACGCAATTCACCAAATATACTAGAGATGCATAGAGTTCAAGCAAAAAAGTTTCGAAAATTAATTGTTAGCAAATTATAAGCATATAAATTTAATTGCACATAAAATTATGTTACTATTGTGTGTTAATACAACAGAAAGTCATTGGTATGTATGAGTAACTCTAAAAAACGGAATAACTGAAAAATCTCAAAACAATTTTATTTACGCACATAAAAAATTACAAAAGAACATTTGGAGGGACGTAATAAAAATCTAAATATATCTGAGCGTTATCTACACACACATTTCTACATTAACATACATACATATATGCGCATATACGTCTATACCGCTATGTTTATGCTATGCCGAGTTGCAGCGGCGACAAATGTTCAACAACAGCAAACAACAAATGGACAGCAATTTACAAAAGTAGCAAAGCAAACAGCAACAGAGTTAAGTGGCAAACGGCACTGAACAACAGCAAACAGCATAAAACAACAGCAACTCAACAACAGCAACAACAACTTAACTACTCTAGCATGCCAGCATTTAAGCTCAAGCCAGAAAGCAAAAGTGTGTTAATGTCGTTGGAGGTTACCGTTGCTATTATTGTTGTGTTGTTGTTGTTATGTGTGTGCCTTTTGTATTATTATTATTTTTTTTCTTTTGTTCTATTATTATTTTATACTTGTCTGTTTGCTTCTTCAACAGTGAAAAGAATAATGATGAAGCGGTCAAGTGCTACGAGTTTTTTGGACGAACTTAATAAACAGATTTTTTCAAATTTTTTTTTTTTTTTTTTTTTTTTTTTTAAATTTTTTTTTTTTTTTTTTTTTTTTTGTAAAACAACGAAAATAAAACTTTTACAGCACGCAAACAACTGTATACAAAAACAAGCAGAAAATGCTGACAACTCATAAAGTGAGGAAAAAACGAGTTGATTAAATCAAATAAAAATATCTTAAACTTTAAATCGCTTAAAGCCAGTGAATATCTTTGTTTTCCCCGCAGTCGGTGGTAGTCAAATTGTTTGCCAAAGAAAAAACTAAACAAATTAAAACAGAAAAGAAACAAGAAAATAAATAAATAGGTATTTAGATGCTTCTTGCTGAGGTAGTTAAATTGCCTATTGCGAAAAATGGCAACAAAGTGGTAAAAGAGAAGCAAAAAAACAAAACAAGAAAAGCATAAAAATGGTGAATAATGAAAAAATTAACTTAAGCACGCGACTAGTAGTATCCAAAACATTTTATATTTTTTAATTTTTTATTGTATGCATCTCTTCGTTTTTGATTATTTGCCGTTTCTCTGAAAGCAAAGCCAATAAAAATGATTTAGACGATTGCGTGATTTTTGTTTTTTTTTTTATTTTTGTCTTTGTCATTTCTTCAAATTAAATCCATAGGCCTATTGTGATTTGTGGCTAAGCTTAACAGCAGTTTTACAATTTATTTTAAAACATTATATCATTGACCTGTTACTAAGCTATATTTGGGGAGATCATGAACTGTTGATAAATAAAAAACCGTAAAATTCAATTTGCTCACTGTAACAAGTTTGAATGAAGCTCGAACAGGTCATCTTCTACTTTGAATATAATAATAATAATTAAACTTTCTCTTTCAAAAAATTTTAAGGTTTTTGTTCAAAAAAGCATTTCTGCTAAAGTATTTAAAAAACGCAAATACTTCGTAAACAAAAATCAGGTTACTCATACGCCCGGTCAGAAGGAATGTGTCGGTGAATAAGAGAATTAAATTAAATTTTTAAGATAATTTATTTTTTAGTTTTGTTTTTGAGATTTGGATGTCGAGATTTTTGATTTGGAATTAAGGTTTTTGTGACTTGGACAGTGGAATTTAATTCGGGAGATTTTGGTTTTTGAAAAAATTATATTGAGATTCAGGTTGCAATTCGAATTTTAAAATTTTGATATTATAATTTTGATACTTTGATTTTTAGATTTTAGTTCAGGAGTCTTTTCATTTACAAAATATTATTTTACTTTTAATTTCAGATCTTGATAAGATTTGACATGTCATGCTATTTATTTTATATTATTCATTATGAGATTTCGAAGGTTAGATTTTAATTTATATTTACTATTTTAATTATAATTAATGATTTTAAATTTAGCGATTTTATCTGTGAACTTAAGTTTTTCAGATTTTCAATTTGAGATTTTGATTTTGGATTTTAGGCTCTGATTTTCGTACTCTGATTCGGAAATTTCGATATTGGAAGATTTTCAGGATGAGATGATTATAAATTTTTTTTGTCAAAATGTTTATAAACAAATTGAATTTTGAAATTTTTTTTATAATTTCAATATATACCAAATTATACACAGAATCAAAACTATAAATTTACCTTTTTGGAAAAATCCAAAATTGGTTTCGCAAAATATATTTTTCACCAAATATATTATATTTTATTATTCGAAAAATAGTAAAAAAGAAATAAACATATTGGACTTCGGGAAAGATAAAATATAATATTTAAACAAATTTTTTATTTTGGCTTATTTTATTTTTGAAATCTTAAAAGAAGTCGACCTCTTAAAATAAGAAGGAAACAATACGATTTCTCTTCAAATAATACGGCATACATATGTCAAAACTCGTAATAAACAAGCGCATCAAACTATGAAGACTTAATCGGCTAGCGAAATGGAAAGTGATATATTCAGCTGTATTTTTTTGAATTGTTTTTTTTTTTTAACTTTTCTGTTTATTTTAATATTTTTTTAAATTTTTTTATATTATGATTCTTTTCCGGAAAATTAAATTTGTTAAATTTTTTTTTGAATTATTTTTGGCCTTTTACGTTAAAAATATTTTTTAGAAAATGTTCACCGCGCCTATTGCTTAAATTAAGTTATTTCATCTAAAAATAGCGAAGGCGTTAATATTCTGCGGAATTTATATTCAAGTGAATAAAAAAAAAGTTCGGGTTGATTTTGATTTCCAAACTATTTAGGGGACCAGTAAATTAAAAATCTGCAAACAAATTGCTTTCGACTTATACTGACGCTAGACCCAAGAAATTATTCAAATTTTCTGAAATTTGTATATTCAAGAAATTAATCAATGTGAGTTTCATTTACTAGTTTTCATACATTTTTATTTATTTTTCTTCTCAAAACATATATTGCAGCTTTTCTTTAAATATTTTTTAGGTATTATGATTAAATTCAGAATATTTTGCAGTCATTAAAAGCATATATTAGTATATTTATAAAGTTCTTTTAAAAAATACTACATCCTACACCGGAATTTATACATCCAGCTTTCGTTTTCAATCGGGTTCGTGTCCTAAGTCTTTTATTTCACAAACTCATTTCTACGACTTCCCTACTTTTTCTAATTTATTATGCTTAAAACTGTTTCTCTGCACAAAATGTAACAAAATGACATTCTAAATAAATTTTTGTGAAAAAAGTGTTATAAAAAATGAGTTTGATTTAAACAAATTCACTCACCTGTTTGAATGATGAAGCAAACGCACGCTAAATACCACCATAATGGCACCACAAATCCACGCGATAAACCCATTTTATTTATTTTTCAATAATTCTCACTCAATGTGTATATATTTTGTATATATTAACGCAGTTCGAAAATTTAATTGACGAAAACAAAAATAATCAAAATCAAATGCGAGCTGCCTGAAGCACAGAAAGATTTGTCGCAATGGGCAAGACACTCTAAATTTGTTGTGTTTGTTGTTTTAAAAATATGTTACAAAAAATAGTATTGGTAAATAACTGTTTTACACTTGCACAGCTAACACTGAGACATTGCTGTACACACATATATGTATTTATATGCGGACCGTGAAGTCAGTTAAGACCAGCGTTTGGCGCTGAATTTGGTAATTTTCGTTTTACGTTTTTTGTTTTTTGTTTTTTTTTCTCTGTGCTTTTCTTAACAATTTTTAGTTTGCTTTACTTCACTGATTTCGTTACAATTTAATTTAGTTTTGATTTTTTTTTTGATAATTTTTTTATTTTTTTTTGCTTGGGTATTGGTTTTGTTCAAATTTTCCACACACCAAAAAACAGAAAAGCAAAGCTGAGTGTGCGCCGCTTGCAGATTTTGCAATATTTCTTCTACGATTTTTATCTTTTTACTTTTTTTATCGAGTTTCTGTTGTCGTTGCACGTATTTGGTGCAGCGTTTTTCATGCAAAGAAATATTTACGCTCACTGCTCGCAATTTTCGCTGACTCTCATTGCTTGCACTGTTTTAATTTTGCTTATTTATTTTTCAATTTTTACTGTTATATTACAACACACAATTTGCGCACTTTGCTTTTATTTTCATATGAATTTGTTTTTGTTATTATTTGAAATTTTTAGTTTTTTCCACAGACACTTTTGTTGCGAATTTGTTGCTGCCACACAGCTGCTGCAAAGAAGAAGGAGAGCAAAATAAAATATTTTACTTAAAACAAAAAAAACATGCAGGTAAATGGAGCACAACAAAGTTAGGTGAAGGAAAATCACCAATAAAGACAACAGAAAATCATTTACTAAAAACAATCTTTCTTTTTATCTTTTTTTTTTGATATTTTTGCTATATTTTTGTTTACTTATTTTTTTCGCCTTTTGCCCAACACACACATTTTGCTCTCATTGCGGTGTTGCGAAAAATCGTAGCAAATGCCAACGGCTTGTGCGAAATCGAAAATGAAAATCTCTTTTGTGTGCACACAACTGAATACAACATTTTATTGTTGTTGCAATTCGTTATGCTGTTGAGGACACATAGCAAGTGTAATGCACTGCGCACCGTCTAAGACAGCTGAGCAGCACAAGGGGCTGATAGAAGTTTGGAAAACTCGAAAAAGTAGACGAGTTGGTGCTGGTAGCCTGACAATCAAGTGCAGTTGATTTTTCCACAATCGTGTCGCGTTCGATGCGTCTGAATGAAATTGAAATGCAGACAAACGTGAATCTTACAAACGGTGTAACTACAATAACAACAACAAATGCTACCGCTGCATCTGCAGCATCTTTCGATACCAAGTTGAGTTTGTGTGCCTGTTTGTTGGGTGACGTCGCGGATAAGCAAAATGCATGCAACAAGGCAAAAAACTTTCTTTTCGCGAGCGCGCGCAAGTTGCAGTTGAATGCGCGTTAGCGTTGTTTGTTGCACATAAATTGATAACTGCGGATTTCTAATTTAATCGCTTGCATTGTTTAGGGAAATTCATTCATGTTTTTTTTAAGAAAAAATTAAATGAAAAATTCGAACAGATTGAAAAAAAAAACGAGTTCAATGTTTAAAAAAGTGCGAAAAAATTAAAATTAATTGAGGGAGACGCACTTAAATTTCATCCTTTAGCTTTAAATATAATTTTTTTCCAAATATCATTTAATTATTTTTCTTTTAAATTCATTAAGTAGAAAAAGTTTATGCTGTGGAAACTTGTGTTGATTTGGTGATTAATTTAATTTTATTTCATTAAATTTATTTTTTTAATTATTTGGAACTTAGATTTTTGCTTATTGTTGGGAAATTATACTTTTAAAAAAATGGTAAAAAAAGTTTTCCGAATTCTTTTATTGGTTGTAATTGTTTAAAAAAACTTTTAAATTTTCAAATTTAAATTTTACATTTTTTTTAAATAATTTGACGAAGAAACTAAACTAGTAATTTTGGAAAATATTGAATTAAAAAAGATGATAACTTTTATTAAAAAGAAATTTTTAAAATTTTATAAACTTTTTTAATTGAAAATTAAAAAATTTGGCAAAAATGTTCTATAAAAGAACTATGTTCAATACCTGATAAATTAATTTTAATATTAGTTTAATATAACTTTATCAACGGCATTTAATTTTACTTTTAAATAATTAAATTAGTTTTTATTATAATGATTTACAACTTAAAAGTTTTTCAGAAATACAAAGTAATATTAATTTTTTAAATATTGTAATTTATTTAAAAATATTTTTAATCTCTTTCAATATGGAACGAAATGAAAAATTACATTAAAATATTATTTTTAATTTTTTACTAAATCATTTCTAAAAAAAAATTAAAATATAATAATAAAAAAAAATATTGCATCTTCTTTTATGGCTAGTTTTTCTTATAAATGTTTGTTATTTTTAAAAAGTTATTCCATTTTGGTTCTGGTTTGTTTCAGCTGCACAGTATTTGTTGAGTTTTATTTCAACTAAATTCATATTTTATACCAGTAAAATATTTAATTTTGTTTTGTTTTTAATATTAACTTTAGCAACATCCGTTTTTCACTTTTGGGAAGAAAGCAAATCAATTTTTTCTCATATAAATTTAACGTTTATTTCTTCCGCACAATGTAAATTTTCTTCATAAAATTGTATGTAACTTTGTTTTACTACTAACTTTTTCAGCGTTGGCCAACAAATTATTTTTGAAATAATTCCAACCAAGTAACGTCTCTCGAAACACCGTCAACACCGCCGATCGGTGTTATTCACACGAGCACTTTTCTAAGACTGTATTCAAATGGATCGAACGTCTTAAGTGGAACTCAGTAACAGTGTGGGTTCGTGCTGGCAATTCGGCTTGCAGAAATATTAACTCAGAAGGCTTCGGCTTCGTTTTTTTTCAACGTCTTTACGTACAAAGTTAACAGTGGATTAGCGGTAAAGCACTGGCCATACAGCCTTGATGTAGCAATTCTTTGTGTGCGAGTTCACTCAGTAAAAGCCAATGCTCAAAAGCGGTCTCTACAGACACACGAACATTCGTAATATTTGTAGTTCCGTCTCCGCCACTTGTTGCTCTAAATATTGTTGGCTTCGATATTTGTTTGTTCGTTGCCATGGCTTATGACTTCGGTTTGCGACAAAGTGAATGTATGGACTGAGCGTTGAGCTATACAATTTTTATTCTCTTTTTTCATTTTTATTTTCGTTGTAGTGTGTTCAAAGAAACTGAGTATTTATATTGAGTGGAAATAATTGTTATGCGCAGAATAAGAGAAACACTCTAAAGAGAAACCGTAGAATTGCAGAAAGACCGTTGAGCGTTAAATCTTAATTTTATTAAAATTAAAATAAAAATTTAATTAAATTAAACATAATTAAATTAAATGAAATAAAATAAAATAGTATAAAATAAAATAGTATAAAATAAAATAAAATATAATAAAATAAAAAAAATAAAAAGAAAATAAAATAAATAAAAATAAATTAAAATATAATAAAATAAAATAAAATAAAATAAAATAAAATAAAATAAAATAAAATAAAATAAAATAAAATAAAATAAAATAAAATAAAACAAAATAAAATAAAATGAAGTAATATAAAAAAAATTTATATAAAATAAAAATAAATCTAACAATATATAAATTATAAATTTAAAAAATTGAATAAAATAAAATATAATGAAAAAATTAAATCAAAACAAAATAAAAGAAGATAAAATAAAATAAAGAAAATTAAATTAAGAAATTTTAAAGTATAATTAAATTATATTAAATAAATTAAATTAAATTATATTAAATAAAATCAAATAGTAACTTAATTATATTATATTAAATTAAATCAAAGTCATAAAATAAATTAAAAAAAAAAATATTTAATAAGTAAAATAGAACGAAACGAAAATAGCATATTGAGCCAAAAAAAACTTAAGAAGATAAATGCAAATCAATTAAATTAAATTAAAAAAAAACGAAAAATATAAAACATATTGGAAAGTGATCATAAATATTTATATAAATAAGATAAAATAAATTAAGCGATATAAAAAATGAATAAATGAAACTAAAAAAATAAAATAAAAGTTTAAGAGCAAAATAAATTTAATAACACACAAACAATTTAAAATGATACAAATTAACTAAAATTAATCAAAATTAAGTTAAACAAAATATATGTGTAAAAGAAAAAGAAGTAAAAAAATGAAAATAGAATAGAAGGAAACATAACTGAAGTAAGTAAAGTAAATAAATTTAATTAAAATTAAATAATAAAATGAAATTTATTTTAATTTTAAAATAGACTTTAGCTCATTATTCACATTAATAGTAAGAGAAAAGAATCGCGGTGAATAAAAACGAGAACAAAATTCAATTCGATACCAACACGGAGAGTATTCAAGACATTCATGGCATACACTTATTCCTCATTCATTCCACTAAGCAGCTTACTCCATTTAAGGCCAAAACGGTAACTTATGTAGGCCCGGAGCAGAATAGGTGCAAAACTTCTGAGTCGGAGAGTGAGTGAGTGACGCGATCGATGAAACTCAACAGTCACTAACACATCCACCTTTACAAATGTCCAAAGCTCCTGCAAAATCAGCTCAGTAATGTTTATAACATTCGAGCAACATTGCAGCGCTCAAACTGAGAAATTGAAATTCCGCAAGCTTTGTTACTTAAATACTTTTCAAAATCATTTAAGCTGCCTTCACACATGCATATGTATTTATGGGTGCATGCACATGGAATGCTCGCATTATTTCACTTTCAAACAACGTGCATTGCACTAATAAACTTGGCGGTCAACAATCGAGCGAGTGAGAGTACTCTGAAAACAAAAGCTGCACATTGTCTAAGCGGATGGCAACAACAGCGACAACAGCTTAAATAATCTGTATTGTTCAAATACAGTTGGAGTAGGAGTAGTTGGAAATACGCAATGCAATGATGGTCTTAACGTTTGCAGCAACGCTTACAACAGCTTTAGCGTTCAACTTACCAGGCGCACAGCAAGTGACCGCAAGTAAACGAAGATATAACAGTCAGCGCAACAGCTGTTCGGTGGTAGTCGCTTTTTAGCTGGCTTTTCCTATCATCTTTGTTGGTATGCCCTTCTGAGTCAGCTCACTTTTTTACATGCACTGTTGGATCGCTCTTACATTTCAGTACTTACTACAGTTTACAGCGTTGCTTCATTACAGCCCTTTGTGGGACACTGTTTTGCTCTGTTTTG